CCAAAGAATACTTGATACAGACTTATGCAGAGCAATTTGGAATAAATTTTTGCAAGGGAGAGTCAGGTTTGTTGCTTGGACATTGTTCTTGGATTGTTAAAAAACAAAACACCGGATTCAAGAGAGGATGATTAAGGGAATAGTAAGCTTGCATTAAACCAAATAAACTAGCCTTCGTGCAGGTTTTATATAACAAATTTAAACTAATGTAACTAATTAAGAATCCTAACAAATAATCTTAACAACTTGAACAATATGGTCCTAACAATCTATCATAACAACTAAATAGCTCTACCCAATAGCTAAAGACTAGGAAATTACTAAACCACTTCCTAATACTAAGGGGATATTACGACTGTGATCTTCTCAGCTATGTTGGTTTAAGGTTTGACTAACAAAAAGTTGAAGTCCATATGGTCCTTTTTTATTTATCATCACCATCTCTTGGCACATTTGGGCACATTTGGGCACATTTTGGTGGACTAGAAACAAGATTTTCAGTGCAGCGGAAAAGTCAGATGACAGGCTAGTTGAAACAACACAAATCAAATCCCTCCTATGGTTGAAAGACAAATCCGAGTCCCTTATTATTGTGCAAGGTCCGTGGACTAACAAGAGGGAAATATAGATTTGCGTGACATTTACCTTGCTATGTTGAGTTATAAAGTACTTATGTGTTAACTACTAGATTGAAGTAAAAATTAACAAGATGACTAAAAAAAAAAAAAAGAACTAGTACGGCAATTAAGACATGCAAGCCTACACAGTTACTGCTCAAGAAGGTCGAGAGTTCTGAGAGTAAAGTTTTTATTTGTATAAGGAATGATATAGTGTTTCGTTATTTTTTAATTAAGGTAATTAAGTTATATTATACTACTATAATACAAAAATAAAAAATAAAAAATAATAGTCAACACAATTATTATTATGTTACAACTATGAAAAAATATTATATTGAGGAAATAATAAAAGTAAAACAAGAAGAGAAAATTTTAAAATACAATTTGTATATAAACGTAAAATTTTTAAAAATATATTATATGTTTATTTTACCAAAAAATTTTAAAAATATATTTACCAAAAAAATAAAATAGTAAAAATACACATTATTTAATTAATTAATTTTGTAATAAGATGATTTAATTAATTTAGAGATAAAATTACAAATTAAACTATTTATATTGATTTTAAAATTTTATAATCTAAATCAACCTATATGAATTTTGGTTTAGATTAGATTTTAATTAAATTAGATTAGTTTCAATTAAATCAATCAATTTGAATCAGATGGGAACAGCCCTATTCAGTAGCACACACATGATAGGGATTAAAAAGTGAAGAAAATACCGCACATGCTTCAACTAACATCCAAAACTAAGTTCAAGACTTCTACCAGCTTTAAAATTAAGAGATGGTATTTTTTCTTAGGGTAGACTGCATTTAGGAACATCATTTTATAGTGTGAAAAGATAAAAATATATAAATGAATTTATAAATAGTATTTAAATTTGTTTAATCTGTATCCTTAAAGATGTGTTAAATACATCTTTTTGTCATAAATTTATATTGAAAAAATAAAAATCAAATTTTAATTTATCAATTATTCAATTAAATTCACCTGGTGCTAAGATTAATATCAACTTTTACATTTTTCTATATTCATTTATAATAAAAAAAAAAAAACTTTTAACTTGTGTTATAAGAACACAGGTTAAAAAAATCTATAGTATTTTGATATTTTCTAACTCCAAAGGGATGTTTTCAAGAATCTTATGAGTAATAAAAGACATTTTTGTAAAATTAAACCAGAAAATATATATTTAACTCGATTGCTAAGCCTCTTCAATAACCAATGCGGAAAGAATAGCTCAAATAGTTGGATATATGGAATATTAAGGGAAAAAAAGAACCTGTTTGCGTTCCTTGGTGGAGACAATAAATGTCACGAGTGAAAACTTGGACAACTGGGGGTTTCAGCATAACAGCCAATGCATCCCAAGCACGTTTGGCAGAACGAATCTTCTTTATTTGATCAAATGCTTCTGTTCCACAAGAAATCCTAATGGCATATAGAGCTAAAGCATTCTTTTTAATCCACACCTCCCTGTTTCCTCCTTGAGGCATCTTGCCTGATTGAACAACCTCCCAAAGATTTTGAAGCTCTAAATAGTGTTGCATTAAAATGCTCCATCTTTCATAATTATCTTTCTTAAGAACTTCAGGAATAATCAAGCTTGGAGAAGTAACTATTTCCATGTTATCCTATGAAATATTTCAGTGTAAATAAAACTAGTGTCAGTACTAATTTGGACAAAGGGAATTGAAAAAAGAAAAGATACATTCTTTGTAAGATAAAAGTGTTCAT